AATAACTAAGGGAGGAAGGGATACCTTGCTTGATTTTTTTTTTTTAAGAGAAGAACGAGAAAAGAACAGCACCCCAAGAATACCAAGCCACTTAAGAAGAAATAGCCAGGAAATCCAAAAAAGGAAAATGGCAGCACTTCCCCCTTCCTTTTCAATTTTCGGCCAGCCAAGGAAGAGCAAGAAAGGGGGGCTCGACAGCGATCCGAGGCAACCAAAGTGGTTCAAATGGAGATCCGGCAACACTCTTCTTCCTAAAAGCCTCAGAAAATGGCACCCTGCGAATGTCTTCGAACCGCAAAACAGAGAGAATATTTTTTATAACAGCAGAAAGAAATTCAAGCTTTCTTCCTTCAAGAACTCTCCCTTTCCCTTTCAAAATTTTTCAACAACCCCCAAGCCACAGAGGATGAGAAGAAAATGTAAGAATGAAATTAGAAGAGATTTTGACAGCACCTCCCAACTCTCAAAAATTTCGGCCAACCCTCAACCTTCTCCCAACTGGGGTTCTATAGCAAAGAAAGGAGAAAGGAGAAGCCACCTACCAACCTCCCTGGTAGCTGAATCAGGTAAAGGAAGAGAAGAAATGCATTTAGAGCGGAGGAAATGCGGCCTAGGGCAGAGGAAGAGCCGGCCAGGTGGAACATCGCAGTTGGGGGACCGCTCGGTCGAGCAGAGCTCGAGAAGACGAGCTGCGTGCGTGAATGGCAGAGCAATGCCGCGTGTAAGGGAAGAGATGCAGCAGAGGAGGCGGGCGTGGCAGCCATTGCCTCGGTCTCGGGTGCCGTTGATCGCGGGAGAGGAGAAACGTGTGGAAACTAGGGCTCCGCCCGAGTGGCTCTCGGTCGAAGCAGAGGAAAGTCGCGCAAGAGGAAAGTCGCGCATGGGTTAGGTCGAAGCAGAGGAAAGTCGCGCATGGGTTAGGTGAATAGAGATTAGGTTATATACATATTATATAAGTATGAAAATATTTAATGATTAAAGTAAAAATTTGATTTGCACATTTTAATTCGTGTGAAATCATTGCAAATTGGATGTTCCTTTTAGGTAATTTTGATGCTCCGGACGCATTGACGCGATCCGTTTTGCCGCCGGAAGTCGTTCTGACAAATTCATCGATTTACGTGCCAATTTTCTTGTGTCGAAAGTATGGCAATATGGGTGTCCTTTCCTACCAAAATTGGTATCCCAGACACGTTGGCGCGGTCCACTTTGTCGTCGGAGGTCATCTTGAGATGTTCACATTTTCACCCGTCCCTTGGGCTTAATTGAAGTCCGATTTCGTGCAATTCTGTGAACTTTGTGCCTTTGATGTGTGTATGTGACGAAAAAGAGTGACGATGTTTTCCTAAGGCTTGAAGTCCTATTTGGAACATTTTCCTTGAATCTTCGCAAAATAGCCCATAACCGCTCGTTCATAAGACGATGGTCTTGTGCCAAAGATGCTAGACATCAAAGGAAAATAGGATTTGGCTAGAATTTTCTAAAAGGGTGAGTCTCAATTCTAGTTTTTTAAGACGGTCAATAAGAACTCCTAGAACTAGATCCTAGGCTCTAAGGAGGAGAAGAGAAGACCTCACAAAAATGAGGTCAACACCACCTAGGCAGACATTAGCACCCATGACCAAGCCCTGAGCTCCCCTCTCCGGCCATGGCTATAAAATGGCCCCTTCACGACCAAGAGAGAAGTGCTAAAATTTTCTCAAGGAGACCCCTCTAAATTGCTCCCATAGCTTCTTTGAGACCTCCTCAGTGCAACCCAACCACTTCCTTGCCCTAATTCCCCTTGTCGGAGTTTAATTTTTGAGCTCAAATCCTTGTCGGAGATAGGACAAAACTCTCCACACCTCCACAGTACACAAAAATAAAATTAAACTCACCCACACCTTCACCACAGTGAAAGAAAACAAAGCCCCATCAAACCCTCCTCACAGAGAGCCTCTACACTAGACTTTGATCAACACCCAAATTTAGCCTTGATTGAATTTGGGTTTAGACCTTTCACCATGACTAGAGGCTCAATACCTAGCCTCCTTGGACCTCCACAAACCTGTCGAGCACCTCTGATTGAAGCTTCCCTTCTCAGAGCAAAGGTATTGAACTCCCCCTCTTCCCGAGCCTATTTTCATTCTCCATTTAATTAGAGTTCATTTAATGGCATATTTATCATACTGTATAATCCATATAGATACATTTGTCTTGAGTAGATGAGGCTCTAAGAACAAACCCCATGAGATTTGGTAGAGTCTAGAGGGAGATCTTAAGGTTTTAGTGTGAACGGTTCTCGTGTTAGCCTATTTGGGGACAATGACCCACAACCGTTGGATCGCGTGCGTATCAAATGGAGGGCTCTGATTGCGCCGGATGGGAGTGTGGTCCATAAAGCGCGGGCTGACTCAGATGACGGCACCGAACGAGGAGACGTTGAGGATGATGTGGCGCCGCGCTGGATAAGTGGAAAAATAGGGCTTTATTTATTTATTTAATGGCCAGAACTTCAAAAATTCATATCTTGGTGTAGAAAAATCACGAAAATAAAATAAAAATATTCTAGTGCTCAGTGAATAGATGAGAACAACGTGGAAATGGTTTGAAGTTTGTTTGATGAATATTTTATTTTTAATTAATTAAATACTGATTTGCGTTTTTTAACTCTCCATGCATGTAGACATTTCACCATGGCTTGAGATTTTCACATGTTGTTGCCTTTGTCATGGGGGATATTCTCTTATTTTTCCAAAGTTAGAGAAGACCTCTAGACAGAGATCCATATTTTTCAAGTTTGTATCTATTATTTGCATAAATTAATCATAATAATTTGCATATTGCATAGAAAAATCCAAGAAAATTTTGAAAGGTTTATTATGACCATAGAATCCTTTGGAAAATTTTTCATGAGTTAAGTCATTAAGAACACACCTAACATATTTTATTTCTGATCATAATGATTTCATGTGTAAATACTTTATTATTTCTTTTATAGCTTTGATATGATATTACAAGTTCAAATTTGTGTATATACACTGATGAACATGTTATAGTTACATTTTCATGCTATGATCGTCATTTATGAAATATATCTAATATTATAATATTATTATGATGGTATTAAACCCTTATTATGGCTAACCGAACTGAGTTTGTTTTGTCAAGCTATTTACTCAGTTTGATTTATCAAGCTCACCCATCAAATCTTTATATGGCAGGTTACAATTAGTCAATCAGAGAAGCATATAAGGCTTTTCGGATTTAGATTTGTTTTCAAGTATTTTTAGTTTTACATTTGTTATTGCATTTTTGTCCTTCCCTTTTTTGGGTTGGGGTGATTATTTCCTTTTTGTCAGTTCAATTTTGTTTTCAACCAATTGTTTATTTTCATCTTTATTGCATCAATTGTTAAACTTATGGAATGAAACAAAATTTATATTTCTTGCTTATTTTATTATTGCTTGCATATCATATATTCTTCTGATAATATAAAAGTAAACATATTGGAATCATTTCATAATATCTTATGTTGTCGGGATGTACCCTCTTCTTTGCTCGGGCGCGATATTCTTAATACTGAAGAAGTGCTCAAAGCCACATATTAACTTGCTAAAAGGGCCAGAGCATATCAAGTGATATCAGAGCCAAATTTGGGCCTTAATGAGCTATGAACCCTGCTGCACCAAATCCATGAGAAAATGCCAAAAATCAGTCTCCAACATCAAGCAATGCCTCAAGTGGAGGAAAGCTAAATGTTATGTCATATAAATAAATAAATAATTTGCTAATTTAGTTAATAAGCATAAAAATAAATTTACATTTTAAATATATAAATTCATTAAAATACACATGAACCCCCAAGAAATTTGCTGAACGCTTTCAGATTTATGTTCTTAACACTACTTTATATAAGTTAGTTTATAAGATTAGCATGTGACTGGGTCAATTTTAACTTTTTACCTTAATTGCAGCTCCAATATGAATTCAAATTAAGCTTAATTTCATAATTTATATTGATTGATAAATCATATTATTTATTATAAAAATTTAAAATTTTAATTCAAATAATCATTGTAACAAAATAATAAATAATAATAAAATAATTGAGAAAAAAATAACAGAAAAAATAAATTTTTAATAATTTTACACTTAAACCTTAATTATAATATATTTGAAATATCAAAACGAGCTAACGAACAAATCATTGTGCTAACACAAGCCAACTCGAGCAGCACACTTCATGAGATCACCTATAAACAGCGTCTATAAGATTTGCTCTAGATAATGCTAGGGAAAAGCTTTTTAGATGATTGAAGTCATAAAATAATAACAAGGGAAATATGCATACAAACCACAGTTCTTATGTATTTACATATCAAACACCTAAAAGTTTGATATTTATATGTATCACACTTTGATGTTATAAACTCATGCATACTTTTCATGTGGTATTAAAGATTTGAGTGTCCTGTAGGTGCTAAAAAAATTTATTAGGTGTTAGATATGTAAATACATAAAAAATTGTATGGAAGTATCTAAATGTCCCTAATAATAATTATAAAGGGTTTAAAGTTTAGCAAGTAATAAATACATACATATATCATGTGCAAAGGTAAGGAGATGCTCTATTTACAATCAGTAAGATCAGATTCTTCAATCAGTTAAGCACATCTGTTCAAATAAAGAAAAGGGTGGCAGAATCCTACTAAGCAATGCTGCCATGGAGCTCTGAAATCAGCTAAGCATATTGGGATGTGCGGTCTGCAGCATCCTCTTCAAGACATCAGCCGTGTGCCGACCAAATGATGAATCCGACGAACTGCAGAGCAATCCGAGTAAATGATGTCACCTGAACATTTTCCCAAACCAAACAAAAAAAAAAGGAACAATAATAATACAAAGTTGTTTAGAGCTGAAGCATTACAGGTTATTACACATCTAACGGTTGTATATTTCACTTTTTAAAAGTTAAAAATTATATTGGTAGAAATGTAAAAAAGCAAAGTTTAGATGTTAAATAAGTAGATAAATCCGAATTGGTTGGTATGTATTTATTGCTAGAAAATTTATAGAGTTTACAGAAAAGTAGGGACAAACCTGGGGATTGTAATTTCGTAAGGGAAGGATATAACATCGTTATTTGGTATAGGAGGGATGTGATCCTTCTTATCATTGACAAATTTTATGATATGGAACAAAACTTCACGCAACGAAGCCTCCAGAGAAGCACGGCGAGATGTGGTCTCTTCCAACTCTGCCCCTGGGGCCACACATTCGCATGCCATCAAAGACAATTAGATTTCTTCTTTTGTAATTAAGATATCTAGTCTAAAAAACACAAACTCATCAGCTAATAAGAGGCACAATAACCCATCATACAATTGAGCTAAGCCAACTCATGAGTTAGATCGGATTCGGCTCAGAAAAAAGCTCAAGAGTTGAGCTCAATGAGCTAACAGGCCAAGCTCAAGCCAAACCCAACTCGAGTCAGCAACTTGTGAGCCGGATCGTTTAAAAAGTATTAATATAACATACAGTAAAAATATATTAACATTCACTATTTTGTACTTGAATAATTAAAAAGTAAAAAAAAAAAAGGTATTTTACGTTTTTATCAAATGATTTCTTATTATTTATATTCAAAATGTTCATCCTATTTATCATTTTATTAACACTATCTCAAATTAATATCTCTATTTCATAATAAAAAGGACAGCTTGTGAGTTGGCTCTAACTAATAGACTTAAGTTGGAGCTTCAGCTCGATTAATTAATCAAGCTAAAGCTCAAATCGAGGGTGGCTCGAGCTCGAATCGACTCGTTTACACTTCTACTTATAATCAAACTAAAACCAAGAATGGTTTTACTTAAAATGATCTCAGCGATGCACAAGATGAGCATTTGCAAAAAGTCTTTACAGGTTACTGAAGAGAAGAATACCTCCAGAATTTACAGGAACTTTGCTGTGATGAGATTTGCCATGTTGTTTAGGAGTTACTACATGCAAATTAATGTACCACTGCTCCCAATATAGGCGCTCAATTTTGTTACTAAACCAGTTTTGCTGCTTGTTTTTCACTTCATAAAAAGATAAGGATACCTGCACTACTAAGCCGCAACAGTTAGAATGCACTAAGCAAAAAAAAAAAAAAAAAGGCACACAATTCTTACTTATTTACATATCAAACATCTAAACTTTCATATTTACATTTATAACACTTACGTGCACAAACCCATGCATGAAAAGGTGTATTTACCTTAAAAAGAAGTAAAGTGATGTTTTTGATGTGATATCAAAGATTTGAGTGTTATGTATGTAAATATGAAAGTTTAGGTGTTAGATATGGAAATACATAAGAATTGAGTTGAATGTATGTAAATGCTCCAAAAAAAAAAATGCTTCTATGGTAAAGCTACCCATGCAACACTTACTTAAAAATTAAAAGAAACTCAAATCTAGAAGTCTAATAATCTTGATTGCTTGTATAGCACAAAAAAGAGAGGAAAAAAATGGCAAAAACCCGATAAATTGGGACTATTCAAACATCTTCTGAGGAAATTTATCTGTAAATCATTAACTTAACCTGGGATTTCCTGTTAGGATGTTTCTCAACCCAAGTCATAAACTGGTCAATCTTTTCTTCTATTTTCTTGTCTAGCTCTGCATCTCCACAATGAACCTATTAGAAAAAAACAAAAGTAGAAATAAGAATTTTCACAAAAAAAAAATCACTAATAAAGACCTGCACACAAGTTCCTCATGTTTAAAAAATAACAAGAAAGGGCATGGTCAATTATCATTCCTCCAAGAGCAAACATAAGATAATTCGTCAGTTTGTTCGAGCTGTTCCCTTTTTTAAATAGGAGTATGTCTAGCAGTACAATATAAGGGGGCATTTTGTAACATACTTTTAGTATGATTTAGCCATGGATTTAACTTAAATACCGCCAAACGCCAAAAAATTGAAAATTAAATCCAACACTATGTTAAATTGAATTTTCTCGTATTCCGTCTCTTTTACGATGTGAATCCAGATTTACTAAATCCGATTGTGAGGCAGATTTAAGGATTTATTCCATCGTGATGCGAGCGCCATCACCATCGCCATCTCCATCAATATAAATCCAGATTTATCAGATTTACTAAATCCTATTTAGCGTAAATACGGGTTGCAATTAAACACCCCCTAAGTCTTTAAGAAAAGTAATATTTCATATGGCAACAGTAACATAAGTTCCAAAGTTAATACCTGCGTGAGATCAACACGCCACATATACTTTAATAAATATGGGCATTCAAAACAATATGTGAAATCGATTTTTTCAATATTCCACTCAATTCAAATGATCCACACAAGTATAAGGGGAAGGGGAATTGGATATTAAGAGAAAGATCCAACAGAAAAGGAGAGGATATAGAAGATAAAAACAAGCTTTAATTTCAATTCATCATCAATTGATTCAATTGTAAGCCATAAATACCCTATTTACAGACACAGGGTTTGCAAAATAAAATAAAATCAAATTGAATTCAAATCAAATCCCATTAAATCCTAAAAAATTCGAAGTTCAAAGCCAAATATTATCCAAAAGACTAAATAAAGCTCATTTCAATTAAAATAAAGCAAAATAATCACAATTTAAATGAAATAGATCAAATAAATATTGAACAAATTTTACTGTGTTTGACCATTTTTACAAAGAAGAATAAAAAGAAGGATGAAAGGAAACTGCAGAAGCAAAGAAGCGAGTTTGAGAAAGATTGTGATATACATAAAATAATTAAATTGAAAAAAAAGACATAATGAATAGTTCATAATCATAAAAAAAAGCCCTATAAATTTAACTTCTTCCAACTTCTTCCACAACAGTTATGCCAGATATATAAAAAATCCATACAATTTACCTAAGAAGTAAAGGAGTTACTTACATATGTTATTTCAAATAGTTCACAATCAACATCTTTTGGCCGAACGAGACCAAGGGCTCGGTGAAAGACAATAGTATGGAGTATGCCTGCAACTCAATCAAAAATTATTTTTTGAAGGATGAAAATGAATTCCTAAAAACTCTATACAATCAAAAAGTTTGTAGCTATCCTCAAATACACAGCAAACTGAAACATGGCATCACAACATTCCGTCTTGAAACAAATTACTCTCAAGCATTAAAATACATCTATCAGAAGTAATAAAATCATACCGATAATTAATTACAACAAACATTAAAATATAGTAAAAGGTTATGGGCAAAAAAAATTTCTTCATAAATTAATTCAAGACAATAATTCAGAAACAATTCTTAATATAATTGAAAACATCAAAGTATTGCTTTTTCCATCACATATCATATTTGAATTTCCTTATTCATTGAAATTAATAAATCATAGTTGTTATTATATACTACAACAAAATTTATATAAAAATTTTCAAGCCATTTCTTAAATGATAAAAAAAATCTCAAAGCCACCTTCAATCTCCCTTCAAGCTGTAAATATTCCCGACTTCTACAACCTATTTGACGTCACTCTATCATTGTCTTTTTTGCAACTTTGTCTAGCAAATAATTGAATATTCCATAACCTGGTTCAATCCACAATACTACTACTATTATTATTAGTATTATAATTATTAATATTAATATTATTATTAATATTCAAGCTTTTCCATTTTATTGTCGTTTACTTTTGGTCGTTTTATCACAATAAATTGTTTTCTTCATATGAAACAAATATAAACATCATTCTAACTGAAAGTCATCATTTTTGTGGTCAGTGATGACTATAGCACTTTTCTCTTTTACTTATTGATTGCAAATTTTAATTTGTGATAAGTATGGCATGCTCAGAAACATCTAATTTATTTCTTTTACATATAAACCCCTGGAACAGTTTTAACTAGTTATGCATGATGTTGTGCTACTATAGTCTAGAACATTGGTGTAGTTGTTGGGATTGAAATTTAAAACAACTTGGGATTCAATCAACTAGCAATCAAAATCACACTGCGGAATAAGATCACACCGATTCGAGAGACCTGGAACAAAAATATGAACAAAATCACAATAAAACAATTCCAGAAAAAAAGCACACCAAGATTTAAAGTGGAAAAATCAGATAACGAGAACAAACAACAGAGTCACAACACTAAAAAAATTCACCATGAAAGACAAGAAATGTACATAAATATTCACTCAGATCTTCTCTCTACAATCAATAAAACTTACAGAACTTTGCTTCAAACCATCCTCTCGATCTCACAAGAAATATTCACCGCTTTAAAATCCTCCACCCGACAATCCACCTTCACAAAGAAGTCCCTGTAAAGAAACACCGCACGTAAGAGCTTAACTTTGTTGCTCAAACAGAGGGGTTAGCATCCAAATTGATGGGAGGTAATTATCGATTTGGTCATGTTGTCACACGGCGTACTTGTTTTGTGCGCTCGGGATGAAGCGACCCAACCGGTAGTGTGGTTACACCACTATTCTGCGTAGGTATGTCATTTGGTAACCTTTGGATCAACATAACTAGGTTGATTTGACGTAATTACGCCGCACAGAAGATAATCTTGATGGTTGTGTGCTTTTAAGGCTATATATGCTTAACAATCTCCCACTTGGAAACTGATAGCACCCAAGACCCATCCTTCAGATCTGCAACTCCATCTGCATCATCTTCATATTTTTGTATTGTGATGTAGCTCACCTCCAATATCCAAATTTCTTGTACTCTAATTAAAACCAAATATAGCTCCAATTTCTCAATAGTCACCACCTTCGTCAACATATATACAGGATTCTGAGTTGTGTCCATCTTCTACAAGAACAACTGCTGGCATGAAAGACGACATTCTTAGCAAAATGAGTTACACTCATACTATCATTATGATGTTTTCCAATCTCCCGCTCCTTGGTCAATTCTACAATAAAAACTATAGTCAATCATCTCCTTACTAATCTCAATCACAACAATATATTCGGTCTCCGTAGTTGAAAGCGCAACAACCTTCTACAGCCTAAAAACCCAACTCATTGGTGTTTTTCCCAAAGTGAAGATATACAATGTTATACTTCTACTATACAAATCTCCAGTCAAATTTGGATCTATAAGTTCATATCGAACTGATCTCTACAATTTCAAATCAAAATGTCATGTTGATTGATTCTCTCAAATACTTGAAAATTCATTTGATCAACTCCCAATAATGTTTGTTTGGATTGCCTCTGTACCAACTGACCACTCCCACTACAAATACAATATCTGATCTCATACAAATCATAATATACATCAGACTCCCAACTGCTAAAACATATGAAATTCTCTCCATCTGTGTTTGCTCTTCTTCTGACGTAGATGATTGCTCCTTAGATTTCTTGAAGTGATTATTTAAGAGGGTGCAAACTAATTTTGTCTCACTCATATTGAACCTTTGTAGGATCTTCTAGACATACTGAACCTGAGACAACTTAAGTATAGTTGTACTCCTATCCCTGCTAATTCTCCTACCGAGAATCTTCTTGTTGGAACCCAAATCTTTCATCTCGAACTCATGTAAAAATTACTCATTTAAGACCCTGATTTTCTTCGTATATTCCCCTGCAATCAACATTTCATCCACACACAAAAGAAATAATATATAATAATTATTGAAATGCTTAATAAATAAATTGTGGTCTATCTGACAATTCATGTACTCATTGTCAGGTATAAACATGTCAAACATCATCTGACAAGAACATGTCAAACCTCATCTCGAGGCCTGCTTCAAGCCAAAGATGCTCTTCTTCAACATGCAGACCAAATTTTCTTTACTTGAAACCTTATAGTCTTATGGTTGCACCATATAAAATTTCTCCTCCAGATCTTCATGTAAGTTGTTTTTACATCCATCTACTTTAGATATAGATCATCGTTAACTACCAGACTTGACACAACTCTCTTGGTTTTCATCTTCGACATATGAGAAAAAATTTCAGTGTAGTCCACTACTTCCTTCAGTTAAAACTCACGCAAAAAAATCTTGTCTTGTAGAATCTACCACCATCTGACTCCTCTTTTAGTTTGTAGGCCCACTTATTATGTAATACTATTTGTCATCTAATAATACCATCAAATTTCAGTTCTGATTTAACTCTATAGACAGTATTTCATCATCCATGACAAACACTCACTCTCTTGAATCTTGAACTTAAATGGCTTCCTCATATCATATCGGTTCTCCACTATCAGGTTAACATAAATAACGTAAAGAAGGAGAATACATGTGTTCTGATTGTATTACTATACTGGACCTCCTAACTTTAGTAGCAGGTAACAGAAAAACTTCATGTGCTCCATATGGTCGAGCGCTTCTTTCATTTTCCACTTTATCACTAATATCTTCTAAATCAACATACTTGACTCTTCAGAAGTAACACTTGAAAAATCCTGAGTTTATGCTCTTTTCCTTGTACATATCAATTTCATTGAAAGTTACATCATTGCTCTAGATGATTTTATGATTCTGATGGTCCTAGAACTTATAACCAAACTCATCCGAGTCCTACCCCAATAAATGTGCTCTTTTCCTTGTACATATCAATTTCATTGAAAGTTACATCATTGCTCTAGATGATTTTATGATTCTGATGGTCCTAGAACTTATAACCAAACTCATCCGAGTCCTACCCCAATAAATGTGCACTTGATAGATTTCAAGTCAAACTTACTTTTGGATCCTACATCAACATGAATACATGCAAAACACCAAATACTTCTATATGAGATAACTTAACCCCCATATCACTCTAGACTTCTTCAGGTAAACCTCCCATTAAAGGTACTGATGAGCTGTAATCAATCAAATAAATAACAATATTTATTGCTTCAGCCCAAAACTATTTTGACAAACATGTATGCAACCTTATGCCCCTAGCATGCTCTGCAGTTGCTATATTCATGCACTCAGCCACACAATTATATTGTGGTGTCCATAGAACCATGAATTTATGTATGATCCTCTCTATAGCACAGAACTTCTTGAACTTTTGATCATGATATTTGTTTTCAGTATCTGATTGGAGTTACTTCAACTTCAAGTTTCTCATTTTCTATCACAACCTCTTACTTTTTGAAAACCTCAAATATTTCATTTTTTTTTTACTTTAAGAATTAAACCCACACATTTCTAGGTGATCATCTATAAATAATTTGGTACCTCAATGGACTGAACAGGAGTAAAACACTTAACATCAATATGCACCAACTCCTATTTTTTCAACTTCAATATTGGCCCGACTATATAGAAAGAAACATTTTTTTTTGCATGCATATCCACAACTTTCACAAAAATTCAAATCTATAAATTTCAAATCCTGAAGCTTATTCTTTAAAAGTAAGTACTTTATATATTTCTCACTCATATTGCCAAACATACAGTGCCAGAAACCTACATCAACCCTAGTTTCAGCCACATTAGTGAAATCTATCATCTCATTGATCATGTAGAGAATGTCTTTAATCTTTCCTCGGGCCCTAATTATTGCCCCATGATCACCTTTCACAAATCATCACAAACCTCAACATTGCCAACTGGCTCACATAGATCATATTTGTTTTCAAAATTGAAATATATATAACTTCAGTAAACTTCCAAAAGGTTTCATTGATAACTTGATATTCACATCACCCTTTCCCAGGATATTGCAGACCTCGTTGTCTCTCAAAAAAATATTCCCTAAATCACTCGTAGCGTAATTTTTTCAATCTCTTTATTGGGGCATGCGTGAAAAGAGGCACCTGAATCTACTATTTAAGATTTAGTGCTAACTAGGGATAAAACGATGGAGTCACCTTGGATTTTGCCTGTGAAGACATTTGTAGAGAAATTTTCATTTCTTGTCTTCCACCACTAAACTTCTTTAGAGTATTGCAGTCCTTCTTAAAATGTAATTTTTTTCCACAGCTCTAGCATTCCCTTCTATCATTTTCTTTGTCTGATTGGGACTTTCCTCTTCTAGACTTGAATCTATCTCTACATACATTCCTGTTCAGATTTCTCTATGTTTTCAACATTCAATATAGAACCTAAAGATTCGCTGTGAACTTCTTTATTCAACACTAATCCCAAAATGTCATTCAAGTTCAGTTTCATATTCCCTAAACAATTACTCACCCAAATGATCAATCCATCTTACCTGTCTGGCAATGAATACAAACTAACAGAGCACTAACCTCATTATCAAATTTGATCCCATAGAATTGGCTCGTTACAGTGTTAAAATTATTTATATTTTCTGACTTCGTATTACATTTCACTATCTTCATGTTGAATAACCTCTTTCACTTAAAAAACCTTATTTGAAGCATAAAATATTTCATCATCCTTGTTAGTGTTGTCATAAGATCCACCGTGATTTTATCAATCACTATAATGAACACAATAGAAAAAAATTGAAAGACAAAACAAACATAGGGTTGTTTATTCCAGCACCTCACATTCCTTCATAGTTATCAATTCAAGTTTCTTGGTGATTCCTTGTAGTGGTAAATATATTTTTTTCTGATACAACAAATCATCCATTAGTATTCTTTAGAATGTGAAGTTTGATGCATTGAACTTCTCCATTTTGTACTTCGCTTCGGTAAACATTATTCCCATTTGAATCAAATACCACGCACTGATAGCACATGGGATAAAAATTTGAAACACCTTGGGCTTCGATCAATTAGAAATCAAAACACACTGCGGAAAAGTATCACACCTATTCGAGAAATTCGGAACAAAAATTCAAACAAAAGCACAACAAAACAAATCAAGATTCACCACAAAAAATATTCACTATGAAGGACAAGCAATGTACATAAATACGTAATCCAATAAAATATTCATTGCTTAGTATTTATGTACATTGCTTGTCCTTCATAGTGAATATTTTTTGTGGTGAATCTTGATTTGTCCAATAAAATATTCATTGCTTAGTATTAAAATATATTTAGTTCACTATGAAGGACAAGCAATGTACATAAATACAAAAAATATTCACCATCAACGACCACTTGGAATAGATGTAGCTTCGGAATCAGAGCTGGTCCAAATAACTTCGATGTGTTAGAGCATGTGGAGACAGAGATGCGGGGGGTGAGATATTAAGGATATTTTAATTCTTTAAATTTGAGAAGCTACAATTAATAATGTAGAAAAAATATCTATTCAAATGGATTATCAATTTTAATTATAAATTAATATTGTTGTTTATTTGAAGTTGCATTTAAAGGAGTTTTTATGAAAGAAGCTTCCTCAAACGAAGTTTTAGTGTGCAAATAAAAAATCTAAATAGAAGGATATATTTGATGAGCAAAAGAGGTTAAAAACATCATCCATATGATTACCAACGAAAATCGAATGAAAAATAAATAAGCATGATGCCTTTAAACTTAGAAACATCTTCAATCATTTTTGCACCTTACGTTACAATGCTAGGGCATGAAAAATATGAAATAATCATAACATAATAATCATAATTAGTGATTGTTGAATATAAGCAGTTACAACATACACAACACCAACATTGAATTAAATATATTTTATTTTATATATAACGCTGTCATCAAACAACAAAGGCATATTAATAACGATTACGCCAAAATAAAATGAGCTAAATAGTTCCCTATTATAGATCACATCGTTCCAATGTTTCAGAAAGCGAAAGGTTCAAAATACCATGCAAATATTTTATGCCTCGTCCTCCATCTCCATCATCCACCTCTAACAACACTCTAAGAGGTTTTAGGAACCACCTTGGCCATGCCAGCAATTCACAGGCGTCAATTGATGCAATACCTTACTTATTCCTCCCACCAAAAATCTACTTGCTTGCACACAAATCGCTGACTGTTGTTTCATAAAGCCTAAGGGGGTCTCTGGTGTCTGGAGTCGTTGTCGCTGGAGGTTCGCAGGTTGGAGATCAGTGACTCTCCACCACGGGATGTGCAATCCGAGTAAAAATCAGTCTACTAGAAGACGTGGAATTCATCGAGGTAAAGGTGGGTGCTAGCAGTCGGGGAAAGATTGGAGTGGTCTGCGAAGCGAATGAAGAGAAACAAGGAGAAGGTGGCGACTGTCGTTCATCAAGCAAGGCCCTCGCGAAAAAAACAAGGTGACTGAATATTTATGCTATTGAACAAAATTGCGGCCACCAGCAACGATGTGGAATAGATGTAGCTTTGGATTCGCAGCCCATCCAAATAACTCAGATGTGACACCGACTGCTCATGCATCTCAAAGCACATGGAGTTGGAGAGATGAGAGGAGGAGAGATATTAAGGACATTTAATCCTTAGAATTTGAGAAGCTATAATTAATAATGTTAAAAAGTTTTCTATTCAGATGGTTCATCAATTTTAATAATTGTAACTTTGTATTGTTGTTTATTTTGAAGTTACTTTTAAATGAGTTTTTATGAAAGAAGAAGCTCTCTCAAATGAAGTCTTAGTGTGTAAATAAAAAATTTAAATAGAAGGATGATTTGATCAACAAATGAGGGAAAAAACAACATCCATATGATCAAATAGCAAATTTAAAATTTCTATAAAATGGTACCAATGAAAACCTAATGAAAAATAAATAAGCATGATTCCTTTAAAGTAAGAAACATTTCAATCATTTTCACGCCTTACTTTGCAACGCACGGGCTTGAAAAATTATGAAAGCATCATGACATAATAATCAGAATTAGAGATTGTTGAATACAAGCTGTTACAACATTGGCCAACATTGAATTAAACATATTTTATTTTATAGATAACGTTGTCATCTAATAACAAAGGCATTTTAATAATGAGTACACCGAAAAAAAAATGAGCAAAATAGTTCCCTATTATAGATCACATTTCACTTTAGGTCATCTCACTTTTATGTTCTCAGTTCTCACCCATGACCTCTCAAATTGAGAATTTTAGTGCATCTACCTTCTCATTAAGAATCCGTCAAAGAGGCTGTAGGCATGCATCCATGCAACCCAAACTATATAAGATATATAGCTTGATGATATTCTAACAAATTTCCAAACAACAAGTTCAAATCCAACATTAGTATTTTTTTTAACTCAAACATATCAAGTGTATAAAGTGTCATAGAATGTAGACCCAATTCCCCTATAAAGCCTTAAAAAATAATGTATTCAACCAAAATAATCAAAAGCAAACAGCAAAAAAAAAGTACACATTTAGGGCAGGAAAGGGAAAAAAAAACTTACAGCGCAACACTTCGCGAATCTCAAGTGGCTCGAGCACCTAAATGCACATCCAAACCAGTAATACAACAAATAAAACAGCCAAGTAAATAATTAAAGACAAATAAACAGCGAATGATATCTCAATACGAGCCCGGGATAAACACAGTAAATCAGTAAGAAGAACAAGCTATTAAATTCAACACTCACTAGTTCTTTCAGCTGGCAGACTTCGCAGTTCATGGCTTTGATCTCTTGACCTAGGTTAATGATCCGATTAGATGGCGTGAAGATATATGGAAGTGAGAACGAAGAGGGAGCTTAGGGTTTTCGGGCGGAGCTGAGAGCAGCTCAGTAAAGAGAAGACCTTCAAACCGTCTACCGTGCAGAACTCACCTGTTATTTGTTGACCTGTTGCGTGAAGCTAGGCGTGCTAATAATAGACACCCGTTTAAAGTATATATCCCAATCAGATCGGACCCAATATGAGCCCTACAGAATTAGAAATTAAAAAGAGACTTTTATTTTCTAAAGTATTTAAATTTTTAAGGCTATGATAATTAAAAGAGAATGGACATTTTCAACGAAATAAATTTTTCGAATGTTTATAGAGATAGAGTTACATATGCAAAAAGAGTGATCTCTAGATGCGTAATTAAATAAAGTTTTGATTTTTAGTGATGTTGGAATTACTTGGACCATCTTTATATCATGTAGACATAACTCGTGTATATTATTTTACGTACATAAATACAATAAAAGAAAAAAGAAACGAGAGATATAATACCACAATCAAGGTTGTAACTTAAGATTCGTTTTACAAAGCGGTAAAATCTGTTCGATTGCAATGAATGCCAACTTATGAAAAAATTTTGTTTGGTAAAACAGCAATAGACAAATGTCTCACGAAATTCTTTTGCAAAAACAATAAATCAGAACGTAGTTGGCCTCCTCTAATATAACAAACGCGACTTTTAAAAAATAATTTGTTAAACAATGATACTACTTCAAATGAAAACCTTAGTCATGCAGCAGAAATGAATCATGTAATAAAAAAAAATAGTGGAGAAGAATATGAGAGACTTGTTTGAGAATAAAGAGAGATGAAGAAAAATGATAAGGTGGTGAAACAAAGGAGGAAAAATAAAAAAGAAGTAAAAGACTGAGAGTATGAGTGAAGGATGGGGGAAGAGGGAGCATTGATGAAGTAATATTAAATAAATAAACTAAAAAAAAGTAGCAAACGACCACTTGGATGGAGAGAGAGAAAATGAGAAAAAAATAGAGATAAATTTAAAAGGTGGTTTTAAATTATTTTAAAAGTTTTTTTTTAAAATATTTTAATTATAATTATATTTTGTTAAATCATTTATATTACGTTAATTTCATTTTTTTATTTTCTAATAATATAATTAGAGTTTTCTTGGAGAAAAGAAAGAAAGAATAGAGAAAAAATATAGGTCGGCTTTGAATTCTTTTGAAAGCTTTTTTCAAAATATTTTAATTATAATTATATTTTGTTAAATCAATTATATCACGTTAATTTCATTTTTTTATTTATAATTATAGAATTAGAGTTTTATAATTTTGGTTTTGTAAATTTAACTCAAATATCTAATTTGTGCTCAATTTTACGTTAAAGATTATTTTTAGGCTAAATCGGTAATATACAATAGTTTTGATATTTTTAAGAGAATTTGTTTCGGTAGTATACTTTTTTGGGCCTAAAAGAGTAATTCTCCTAACGTACAATCAAACAACTTCTAATTGCGGTGATGTTACTTATTTGGGTTTATCTTCACAATCTAAATGATACAATTCAATTCATTTTGCTAAACAATATCCAGATTAAAAGAAAAATTACATGGATAACCTTGTATTAAAAAAGACTCGGGCACACAAACTAATGTAAAAAAAATCACAAATTAGCACACAAACTCATATATCTGAATCAAATTGGGCCCAATAAGAGCTCTACAGAATTTGAAATCTTGAAAAAAGTTTTTTTATTTCCTAAACTATTTAAATTTTTAAGGTTGGTGATAATTAAAAGAGAAGGGATATTTTCAATGAAATAAATTTTCTGAATATTTATAGAGATGGAGTTACATATGCAAAAAGAGTGATCTCTTGATGCATGATTAAATAAAATTTTCATTTTTGGTGATGTTGGAATTGCTTGAACCAACTTTATATCATGTAGGCATAATAGTTATTACTCGTGCATATAATTTTACGTGCGTAAATATAATAAAAGAAAAAAGAAAAACGTAAGAGAGATATAATATCTCAATCAAAGTTGTAACTTAGCCTTCGTTTGACAAAACAATGAAATCCGTTTGATTGCAATGAACGTCGATTTTTGGATAATTTTTCTTTCGTAAAGCAGCAATAGACGAACGTCTCATGAAATTCTTTTGCAAGAATGATAAATCAGATCCTAGCAGGCCTCCTCCAACCTAAGGAACGCGGCTTTTAAAAAATAATTTGCAGAACAATGATGCTACTTCAAACGAAAACCTTAGTCATGTAGCAAAAATGAATCATGTAATAAAGGAAATGGTGGGAAAGATTATGGGGGACTTGTGTAAGAATAAAGAAAGAGGAAGAATAAGAATAAGGTAGTGAAACAGAGGGTGAAAAATAAAAAAGAAGAAGGGACTGAGAGGATGAAAGAAGGTTGGGGGAAGAGGGAGGAATGAAAAGGTAAAATTAAGTAAAAAAACTAAAAAAAAGTAGCAGCCGACCACTTGGGTGTAGAGAGAGAAAATGAGGAAAGATGGAGAGAAAATATAGGGTGGCTTTAAATTCTTTTAAAAGCTTTTTTTTAAGATATTTTAATTATAATTACATTTAGTTAAATCATTTGTATTAAGTTAATTTCATTTTTTATTTTCTAATAAAAAATTAGAGTTTTCTTGGAGAAAATGAGGAAAGAATATAGAGAAAATATAGGTTGGCTTTGAATTCTTTTGAAAGGTTTTTTCAAAATATTTTAATTATAATTATATTTTGTTAAGTCAATTATATTAAGTTAATTTCATTTTTCTTTTTTAATAACAGGATTAAAGTTTTCTTATTTTGGTTTTGTAAATTTAACTCAAATTTCTAATTTGTACTAAATTTTACTTTAAAGATAATTTTTAGGATAAATTGGTAATTTACAATAATTTTGATATTTTTAAGAGAATTTATTTTGGTAGAATTATATTTTTTTGAGTCTAAAAGAGCTTCTCCTGACGTACAATCAAATAAGTTCTAATTGTGGTGATGTTACTTATTTGGGTTTATCTTGACAATCTAAATGTTTCAATGCAATCCATGCTGCAAAACAATATCCAGATTAAAAAAAAAATTACATGGATAACCTTGCATTAAAAAAGACCTGGACACACAAACTCATGTAAAAAAAATCACAAATTGGCACACAAATTCATATATCTGAATCAAATCAGGCCCAATAAGAGCCCTACAAAATTTGAAATCTTAAAAAAGGTTTTTTTATTTCCTAAACTATTTAAATTTTTAAGGTTGGTGATAATTAAAAGAGAAGGGATATTTTCAATGAAATAAATTTTCTGAATATTTATAGAGATGGAGTTACATATGCAAAAAGAGTGATCTCTTTATGTATGATTAAATAAATTTTTGATTTTTGGTGATGTTGGAATTGCTTGGACAAACTTTTATCATGTAGGCATAATAGTTATTATTCGTACATATAATTTTACGTGAATAAATGCAATAAAAGAAAAAAAAAACGTAAGAGAGATATAATACCTCAATCAAAGTTGTAACTTAGGCTTCGTTTGACAAAGCGGTGAAATTCGTTCGATTGCAATGAACGCCGATTTTTGGATAATTTTTCTTTCGTAAAGCAGCAATAGACAAACGTCTCATGAAATTCTTTTGCAAGAATGATAAATCAGAACGTAGCTGGCCTCCTCCGACCTAATGAACATGGCTTTTAAAAAATAATTTGCTAAACAATAATGCTACTTCAAACGAAAACCTTAGTCATGTAGCAGAAATGAATTATGTAATAAAAGAAATAGTGGGGATGAATATGAGGGACTTGTGTGAGAATAAATAGAGAGGAAGAATAAGAATAAGGTGGTGAAAGAGAGGAGGAAAAATAAAAAAGAAGAAAGGGACTGAGAGGATGAGAGAAGAACGGGGGAAGAGGGAGGATGAAAGAGGTAATATTAAGTAAATAAACTATAAAAAAAAAGTACCAGCCGACCACTTGGGTGGAGAGAGATAAAAGGAAGAAAGAATAGAGAGAATATAGGGTGGCTTTGAATTCTTTTAAAAGCTTTTTTTAAATATTTTAATTATAATTATATTTAGTTAAATCATTTACATTAAGTTAATTTAATTTTTTTTATTTTCTAATAATAGAATTAGAGTTTTCTTGAAGAAAAGGAGGAAAGAATAGAGAGAAAATACTGCTTGGCTTTGAATTCTTTTAAAAGTTTTTTTTTTAAAAAATATTTTAATTATAATTATATTTAGTTAAATCAATTATATCAAGTTAATTTCATTTTTTTTATTTTTTAATAATAAAATTAGAGTTTTCTTTTTTTGGTTTTGTAAATTTTACTCAAAATTTTAGTTTGTTCACAATTTTACATTAAAGATTATTTTTAGGCTAAATTGGTAAGTTACAATAATTTTGATATTTTTAAGAGAATTTGTTTTGATAGAATTATACTTTTTTTGGGCCTAAAAGTGCAATCTCCTTACGAACAATCAAATAACTTATAATTGTGGTGATATTACTTATTTGGGTTTATCTTGACAATCTAAATCCTACAATTCAATTCATATCGCAAAATAATATTCATATTAAAAAAAAATTGCATGGATAATCTTGCATTAAAAAAGACTCGAGCAGACAAACTCATGAAAAAAAAAATCACAAATTAGCTCACAAACTCATATATCTGAATCAAATCGAGCCCAATAAGGGCTCTACAGAATTAGAAATCTTAAAAAAGGCCTTTTTATTTCCTAAATTTTTAAAATTTTCAAGGCTGGTGATAATTAAAAGAGAATGTATATTTTCAACGAAATAAATTTTCCGAATAATTATAGAGATGGAGTTACATATGCAAAAAAAGTGATATGTTGATCCGCGATTAAACAAAGTTTTGATTTTTGGTGATGTTGGAATTGCTTGGACCAACTTTATATCATGTAGACATAATAGTTATTACTCGTGCATATAGTTTTACGTGCATAAATACAATAAAAGAAAAAAAAAGGTGTAAGAGAGATATAATACATCAATCAAGGTTGTAACTTAAGCTTCGTTTGTGAAATCCGTTCGATTGCAATGAACGCCGACTTCTGGAAAATATTTTTTTGGTAAAGCAACAATCGAAAAA